ATTGTGAAGCTAGCCTAGGCTATGTTCAAATTGCCATGATCTAGAAAGAGTGGGATTCTTGAGAGCAAGAGTCTCCAAATGTCTGTACCTTTCCAGAACAGGGTGCTTTCAACTTCTACTCACAAAACTTCTCACATGGTGTGATGGTTTAAATAAGAGTGGCCTCCGTAGGCTCATATATTTGAATGGATAGTCAACAGGAGGAGGCACTATTTGAAAAGATTAGAAGGATAAGAAGGTGTGGCCTAGGTGGAGGAAGTATGTTACTAGGGGCAGGCTTTGAGGTTTCAACGGTCCATACCAGGCCCAGGTTCTCTCTCTCTCTTCACTCTCTCTCTCTTTCCAGATCAGGATGTTTTAGAGCTTCTCCAGCACCCTTCCTGTCTGTCTGTCACCATTTTCCACCATGATGATAATGAACTAACTTTTAAAACTCTATGCAAGCCCCAATTAAATGTTATCTTTTATAAGAGTTGCGTTGGTCATGATATCTCTTCACAGCAATAGAAAAATGACTAAGATACATGGTTATTTAAAATAGTTACACAGCCAAGCATTTATCCATAATAAATCATAAAGAAGTTTATTTTAAAATATTTTTATATATATAATACTTTTATAATTTAAAAAGTGAATTATGCCAGGTAGTGTTGGCATGTGCCTTTGGTCCCAGAACTCAGGAGGCAGAGGCAGGAAGATCTCTGTGAGTTTAAAGCCAGCCTGGTCTACAAAGATAGTTTTAGGACAGCCAGGGCTACACAAAGGAATCCTGTCTTGAAATACTAAAAATGACATTTGTATACTAATAATGTTGACAGGCTCACTTAATTTTATGTATAGAACCAAATTTTATCTGAATGTTTGCTACAGTGTGGAATTATAGAGCATTCAGTGTTTTTTGGACCTGAATGATACCCTGATTTAATAACCACTGATGCTGAGAACATTTCTTGCATAAATACATAGTACAAAATGACAGAAGCAAGTTTAGGGCCATTTCAGAAATTGTTAGAAGTTCTGTTGTATTTTTCAAGCCAAAATTCATTTAATGATTTTTATGAAACTCAAGTTAGTAAATTAAACATCAGCTCTTAAGATCAAATGTCAGAATAAAACACACCTAATAATACACTAACACACACTCAGGACTGATGGTAGGAAAATGTTAAAAGTTTTACATTCCATAATTAAATTATTGTGTTTCTATACAGACAGATTTGTAATCAAATTGCTATGTTTCTTTATGGGCAGAAAGCTTTATCCATGCAGTTATTCACTGAATTTCATGACAGACAATGCTCCCATAATACTCAAGGATGTTTCAGGCAGTAGTCACTGGCATTGAGTAGTGAACTCTCAGCGTGGTGAGAACCAAGGTAAAGTCATGTGACACAATCTGATTGAACACTGCCATAACACTTTGAATTTCATTACATATTTGGTTTGAAATCATATTTTGGTCATTGTACATGCAGAAACCTTTTATTGTTGCCAAATTTTTGGTGAGCCCCACAGCTATGTGACCCCCTGTGGGGTCTCAGTCACAGTTTAAGAAGTAGAGAACACTCCAAATGCTTTCTCTTCATGTCTTTAAGGGGCTTCAACTGGATTTACTCTGACCCCTTCTTTATATAGAGCACAATGCTTGAAATTGGTTTTCTAACTTCTTATGATTTAACACAGCCCTTTAGGAAATTTACTCCTCTGAGGACCTGTCTAAGGATTGGCACATGCCTTTAGTCATAAGGTTCTTGAGCTAGAGGAATAAAGAAAAAGTATTTAGGCCAGCTTGAGCAGCATAACAAGTCCGTGTCTTAAAAGAACATGGTCGGGCATAGAACACAGTTGTATGCTACTTGTTTAGCACCCATAGGTCAAGTGTTTAGTTTCTAGTTCTGCAAAAGCAGAAAAAAAAATCAGAGTCCACCAAGTAGTAACTGTCACTGAATAACTGTCCAGGAATATTTTCTGACACAGGAAATTGTTTGGTCTTAACACTCACAATGATGCTTGAGTGTGTCAACCATGTCAGTTGAGTTACTTACGTGTTGAAGCCTTTGTTAATCCTGAAGTCTTATCTTTACATTATAATGACTGCATATTTTCACACTCAGGTAGTAGGGACATTCAATCTGTCCTCTGGTGGTGGCAATAAATTTGCCACAAACTAACACTGTCTATAGCTTCAGTATGGGATCTGAGACAAGACTGAGCCATCAGTCTGGAGAGATGGATTTTATGGTCATTGTCCTTGGCACCATGTCCTCTAAGAGGCTCTGAGTGTCTGGCTATGATGTGTGTAGATCTGTGGTGCTCCACCAAGCCCATAAGGTCAAACTGATGTGCAGTAAGAGACCAATAAGTGGAGATTGTCTGGACTCAGCAGTGGAGGTAGGGGTTAGAGTCTTGCTTATACATCACCACCTGCTCTCAGACAATGCTGGGGAGACTTAAAGGAGGCCACAGAGTTTTTAGCTGCAGTGCCTTAACATTTGTTATCAAAATGGCAGAAAGTGACAGGGTATTGTTCATGATGTCTGTTTCCCACTTAAGATATAAGTGGGAAGGGCAGCTGCCGAGTCTTCTGCAATTATTAAAATTAACATAGAAAGAAGGGACAAAGGAGAATATATGGCATAGTTAGAAGGAGAAGTTTCTTCCTATGTTAATCCACTGTTTATGGGGTAAGTAAGATAATGTGGCATTGCCTTAAATCCTGTCAGGGTTTTCTGAGTTTTAACCTCATCATTTCTCAGCAGTAACTGCTTTTCTTCTCTCACTGCAACTTATTCCCAGTGTAGCTCTGAAATTTCCTAAGTTCTGAGCATCTTTTTATGCACATACAGGCTTATGGAAGGCTGCAAGTCCAGCTTCCTGCCTGATTTTAACTATCTGTGGCCAAAAATTATGGCACATTCATTGACTATAGCACAAGAATGAGAATCATCCATGTTCCCATAGTGGTTACTGACTTCAATGACTGATCAATGAGAAAGGCCTTGGTAACCAAAAGCTTTGTTAGCTTGTAGAAGCTCTTCTATTATTTAAAGTCTTGTTGAAGATGAAGTAGCTGCCAAATAGAAGCTGTGCTACTCTGACCTTAGAGCCACACAGAGACCCTGCTTCCTCCTGGGTGTGTCTTTGTAGTTCACCAACTTGACTCTGATGAGGCCAGGCCATGTACTGTATTTTCCAGGAAGTGAAGTGTTTAATACAGTGTGACCAAAGGAAGGAGCAGTGCTGGCCTCTCAGCACAACATGGGCAAGAGTCAAAGACAGATCTATGCTAGAAAATATACCTATGCATTTGTCTTTTCCTTGAGTCTGAATTAATATGAATAGGGAGGTCATCATATTAAATTTATTAGAAACAAATGTTCAGAAATTTTGACATCATGGAGGCCTTATGTTAATAATAAAGCAGTTTAAATAAAATGTGTCAAACTGCCTTCTAAAACCTCATGTTTCTATTTGGAGATTAAGGCTTTCTTTATCTGTCATGAGAGAGTTGTCTCTTTGCAGCCTACAGCAGTTAATGCAGACACATACTACTAGTCAGTGTGGAGAGTATAGGACATATGACCCAAAAGGCTCTCTCTGAGGCTCAAGGTCTATCCAGGAAGAAGGATGGAAAGAGTAGAAGGTCCAGAGTATGGAAAGGTGTGTTGTAAAAAGACTTCTCTTGGAATGAACCCACTGTGGGTATAGAAACTTGCACCAGAGTGGGTCTGTTGTTATTTTGTCATGGGAGAGGAAAGGGTTCATGGGGCCCAACTCTCCCCAGGTGATTATTTACAGTTAATGGTGGTTATGGAAGTATCATACTGTCATCAGTCATGTAGCTACTGACTGGTTGTAGATGACCCAGTAAATAACTTTTCACACATGCTCATGTGAGCAACTGTAGTTAATCTCAGTAGAATACACACACGACGTGAAAGTAGGAGAGGGCTTTCTGAGAAGGGTGAGATGACAGAAGAAAAGACTGGAAATGACAGGACATAACAGGTAGTGATGACTAAAATTCATTCAATATCTGATGACACTGTCAAAGAACACAAAATTTAAACTATAGAACAACTGAAGAAAAAAGGAAATTTCAATATATCTTTAGTTTAAACTTTTTAAAGCAAATTGTCTGAATATAAATTGACTGGTGTGGCAAGTAGTAGCCATTCTTAGTTGCAGATGGTGGTGGAGGGTATGAAATAATGAAGAGCAGCAAGGTAAGTTACTGTAAGATTAATAATTTTCTCTCAGAGCATTATATTCCTAGTTATGTCATATTTAGACATATTCTTTAGGCATTTAATTGATTCTAGAATCTTATTTAACACCTATGATCAACATGTCTGGAGTTGATGCAAGTTTTCATTTTTAGTCATAAGATTTCATCTGATCCATCTGAAAGCCCGTATAATGGTAGAATCTTAGATGCCATGAAGTCTGGTGCTTTGTTTAATAAAGATGGAATCTATGAGACCTGTACTCACTATTTTAATAATATTATCATCAAATCCCAGGAAACAGTATGATACATTTTCTGACTCAGAAATATTTGTGGTTTACTTTAGGATTTAGTAATTTTTTTTGTCTTTAGAATACATCATTAAAGAAAAGATAAAAAACATAATTTTGATACTAAAAGACCAGAAAGAAAACAGGTTTTAAAATAAAACTATAGCATGTTATGAATAATTAAATTTTTTTTTACATAATTACATCCTTGCAGATGTCTGCATAGACCCAGAGAGTTTCCTGTGATAGTCTGAGTATTTGATGATGGCAAGAACCCTGGTTTCAGCCCATAACATGCTGCTGGGAACATGGCTGTGTTTTCTGAGTGCTAGTCTTATAAAATCAAGTGAGACAATAGACTTATTTCTGAGAGCCTCTACTAAGTCTTCCTTGAGGAAGGTCTATCAGTAAGGATGTTTTTTTTTACACAAACATCTACTCAGGTGCACAAAGCACTGCTGTTCTGGGTTTTCTTGCCTTACCAGAATGGTTGATGGCTTGCTGGAAGCTTTCATTTGCAGAGACACTATAAAAGAAGCAAATTCGCTGTGAGTCCAACAATGTATGTAAATAAATTATTACCAAGTTGCTTTTGTAATTAAGTGGATGAACAACAACAACAACAAAAATCAGGCTTATATTTTAATAGGAGAACTTTTAAAAGTGAATGCACAAATGGATACAAATACCATTCTATTTTTGCACTTCTAAGCTGACATATAGTTTTTGCAGTAATGTAGTAATCCTTCAAGTAGCCTGTTAATATGAAAATCTACACTTCTCCCACCCTGGCAACACATGGCTAGGAGCCCATCCCAAGGAGGGTTAACCCACATTATTTTCATGAAGCTTTGCAAGAGAAATACATAAGTCCCACAGGCATGCAAAAATGAGATAAAATAAATAAAATGAAATAAAGCCCCACTTACAAGAACCCGGAGTTCAGCCACTGCTGGATACTTTCCTGTTTGGAATTTTCTATAAAGAAACAAACAAACAAACAAACCAGATCTGTTAGTCAAAGCACAACTGGCTGCAATGACCCACTCTATCATCAGCCACTTCAGCAGCTCTGTTTCCTACATTGTTGGTCACATGATCATGTAAACATATTCATATTCCCCCTGGAGGCATAACCTCCTATTTTCCATAATCAGCCCCTTCTAAGAATGGATGTAAACTTGCCAAAAGACTATAAATTAAGAAAAAAGGAACAAAGTGTTAAGGACTAGCAAAATGAATAAGTGAAGGGTGAGAGATGCTAGAATGATTGTAAAATTGCCTAGTGTGAATACAATGACTGGAAAAGAGTAAGAGATTTCTGTTTCTCTCTTGTTGGTTCTATGTCACCATGGAACCTCTCCTTATTAAATCCCAACATTTACCTAAGGCAGCTAGCCAGCAATGTTTATTTGCAAGGAGTTCTTTGCCAGGTTAGAAACCAGATTTGCATTCATTCCAAGGACAAATTGTCATAGAGTCCCAGGATATCCAAAGGCAGCCTGTGTTAAAAAGGCACCAGCCTTTTAAAATGTATCTTTAACACTGGCTCAACAAATAGGCAATAGAAAAGGAAAGAAGGTGAAGGGAGAGCAGACCCTGAGAGTTCTTGCTGCTTACTACCTCATATCCTGGTCTCAGTCTGACTTTATTCACAGATACTTGAATAATTCTCACATAGGCTTTCAGGTAAATCGAAACAGCCAGTAAACCTGGGAGTTGCCCGGTAGTCTTCATTTGTGATACCATGGGTGGATAGAGTGGGAATGTTTTCTTATTTATTTCTTTTTTATGTTATTCAATGATCGTCAGTGTTTCATGCAAGGCACCCAAGAAACTTGAAATAAAACAACTTCATTGGGAGCTGAAGAGATGGCTTGTGGGTCAAGTACTTGTACTAACACAAGGAACTGTGTTTGGATTCCGAGCACCCATCAAAAATCAGGGCATGGTTGCACTAGTAGGACCCAGATTCCTTGAACTCACTGGCAGCCAGTCTAGCTGAATGACACTGCTCCAGATTCAGTGAGACTACCTGTCTATTTCTGTCTCTCTCATATACATACATACATACATACATACGCATATGCATATATGTTCACTAGCATATGAAGAAGAGGAAGAAAGAAGAGGAAGGGGGGAGAAAAGAGGAGGAAAAGAAGGAGGGAGGAAGAAAAAGAGGATACAGTGGAGGAAGAGGAGGAGGAGAAAGACGAGGAGGAAGAAGAGGAAGAGGTGCAAGAGAAGGAAAAGAAGGAGGAGGAATCTTTATGGCTCCAGCCTGGATGTATCTTCAGAGTCTTGGGTTTTAGGATGAGGGCGTTGTAATAGAAAGGAAGCAGTGTTTATCTTTTAGTTGGTCTATTTGTGCTGAGGTCCTCAGGAGGATAGATATTTCATAAAATTGGCCGGAATCATACCAGGAACACTTGTTCCTTTCTTGTTTCTTTGTTTCTTTCTTTTGTTTTTTTTCCAGACAGGGGTTCTCTGTGTAGCCTTGGCTGTCCTGGAACTCATTCTGTAGACCAGGCTGGCCTCCAACTCCGAGATACCCCTACCTTTGCCTCCCAAGTGCTGGGATTAAAGTTGTGTGCTACCACTGCTTGGCAACACTTGTTCTTTTAATATCGAGTTCAAGTCCTTAGAAGTCACTTGCCCCCAAACATAAGCCTCACATACCTCACCACCAACAGAAGGGCATTTTCTAAATGCCTAGAAGGCCCCTTACCTTGCATGTACATGGTGAACATTGGGTTTTCCTCCTCAGAGCCAGGAAGCAGATGCCCATCCAGTGGGATCCATGCCCTCTTGGTATGCTTTAGGATATCTCTCTTGCTCTTTTCCAGGCCTACTCTGGGGGTGTCATATCCTTGAAATTGCTCCATCATCAAGAGGGAGATTCTACAACCTGACTGAAACAATACCAGCCGAAAAATCAGAGACGATGAGTTCAGAGCTGAGGTGTGGCCAGCTGGAAAGAGATTCTTAGAAGTAACTGTGAATGTACTCTACTGCATGTACTGTAAAATGATTGATACTGAGCCCTTCAGAGTCACTGTCAAACTGAGACAGGCTCACCTAACCAAGCGTAATTCCTGCTGATTTTGCAGAAGAGTTTCCTTACTACAGACAGATAGACCAGGAATTAACCTGGCATTACCAGACATAAGGTCACAGCGACACTGAGGGATTCAGTGACACATTCTGAAATGTGGAACAGAGAAACTGAACTTCGACACCAGCCTTACTTATGTTACACTAATCTTTGAACTTTGAACACTTAATAGGTGTTTGGAAAAAACATGTAAAAACAAAGTGAGCAAAGTTCAGGTTCAAAACCACCCTTTTGCCTAAATTATTGTCATATATAGGTTTCAATTAGCATTAGTTCAGTCTTCAAGTTCAGAGAATGGCTAAGGAGCCAGGCTTTGGCAACACGCATAGAATTCTAGTATTGGTGCCTAATCATTAGTCACATGACACATAAACTGCTTTTTGCAATGTGCGTCTGAAAAAGCCAAGCTATTCAGACCAACTACAAATATCTGGTTATTCTCTTTTAAGTTCAGGCAAGCACTCCAGACGTAACTGTCGGTAACACTGCCCTTATATGCTTAATATATTTAAATTGTGCCATTCATGTGAAGTTCAATTGACATTTACTGGCACAGATGAAAATGTACTGTGAAAATTATTGATACTTCTGATAACTATCTATTTTACATTCTAAATGCAAAAGGCAAAAAGTTTCAAGGAGTTAAAAATAAGACTCAAAGGTAGACATTTTATTCAAGAACATTAACTTTCAGGTATCCTTGGTAGCAATTTTTACAAAAATGACAATAAGGCAAGTAATACAGATACAGATTATATTTCAGACTCGATCAGTTGTCTGGTATACTAGAAGTCATAAAACTGTAAAAAGTATCCTCTACAATCTGCATTAAGAGGGTAGTTATTAATTTTGCCCAGGTTTTGACTCTTTCAGATTTAACAAAAAGTTGTCTTCGGCAGCACCTAGCATTCTGCGGGTATAAGTGAGAATACAAGCATTAGCTTTGATGAGGCAAAATTTCACAAGAAACAAAATCCAAAAAACTCTGCTCAAGAATATCCTAAAATGTGACACTCACTGGAGAATCAGAAAGTTTTAACAACAGAAAAGTGTGTTACAGAACAACAAGGTCCCTCAAATCACCCAATCCCTTTCCTGGTCTCAGCTGGAGGAATGTTCTCACATATGACAAAGATTTTGCATGAAGGGTCAAGAGCTATCAAGGAGCTGACTGTTTTCTGAGCCAGAATGTCACATATCAATCAAGCTACAGATTTTTGTAAATCATTGGAAAAATTGCTTCATTTAGATAGAAATATCAATTTAGCTTTTATGTTCCAAGCTTACAGCCTATAACAGTAAATTCTACCTCCGCTTCTAGCTTCACTCAACTGTTGAAGACTGGTTCTTTGCCAGATTGCTGGCAGTTTCTGTAGATTAGGAAAAGTCTAGCAAAAAAAGTGGAAAATTTGCTAGAGGCAAGAGTCAGGGGATTGTTGGCAAAGGAAGTCTCTTGTTCACTGTGCCTTAGTGGGCACCTTTCAGTTAGCAAGCAAGTCTGCTTCTGGAGATGAGTCCCTGCTGCTTGAATGGCCAATTTTGATATCTATTTGCCGGACCCTTAAATCTCTTTAGAAAAGGACATAAACCAATTGAATGATAGCCTTGAATTGTCTCATAGTAGCCAGGCAGAAGTTGTGTTACATGAGCCTTGTTGCCTCCTCGAGGAAACCCCTCTGTTTGCAGGACCATTTGGAACCCAGTGCTGAAACTAGGAGGAAGCCTACACTTGGATTATGTTGTCCCCAGAACCTGAAACATTCAGTACTTTCTCTCCCACATCCTTCTGTTTTGATGGCCACATGCCATTGAACCCTGTGTGTATGAAGAGACCCACTAATGTGGATAGTTGTTTCTATCATGTTTAACTTTTAAAGGTATAAAGCTACAAATACCAAATTTTCAGTTTGTATAAGCAAAAAGCTGGTGTGTTGAAAATGAAAACACAAACCAAAAAGTTACCAAATTTTCAGAATGTTGAAGACAATCAGAAGTAGAAAACAATTGGTTCCACACAATGATTCTATTTGAGTTTTCTTTAGTCTGAGTAATATCAGCCCAACTGTTCCCTTTCACTTAATCCCATAGCAGCGTCAGGAAACATGAAACTCCAATACAGTGACAGTCATCACAGGCTTTGCCAAGAGTGCTGTATTACACACCAGGCTCCAGAGTAGCACATGGACAAGTGATCTGGGAAAAGGAAACTCCAGGTAGATTGAGAATCATTCTTGTTTCCTGTTTTGTTTTTGTTTAATTTTTCATTGCATTTATTTCTTCATTTTTATGTATTTGCACAATCCATGGAAAAGCTATGGAGTGTAGAGATCTGTTCTCTAGGACAACCACCTTCTGAGCTCTTAGGACTAAATTCAAGTCATTGGGCTTGGTAGCAAGTTGCCTTTACCCACTGAGCTGCCTGACTTACACAACCCCATTCTTGGTTCTGGTGTGGTTAATATTGGGCATATCTGACAGGTCCGAAAGCCCTAACTTTGATCTTAGTTCTGTTACCTTCTGGGCTTTGAATGAATTCTCAAACTTTTCTTATACTACATTTTGTCACTCTTGGAATAGTTGTAAAATAATTATTTCTTATGGAGGAATTCATAGGAAATCTATTCACAACAACCAGTGCTTACATTTTCTAGCTGCCCCTTCTCTTTTCTTATTTCCATCCCTTTCATTATCCTGTCATGAACTGTCAAGTGAAGGGATCAAATCATCAATTGCTCTAGTTTTTGGTGTTGTGCTGGCTAATTATATGCCAACTTGACACAAGCTGGAGGCATTTAGGAAGTGAAAAACACAGCTGAGAAAATGTTCCCATCAAATTGGCCTATGAAAATGCACATAGGACTTTAAAAAATAATAGTGATTGATATGGGTGGGCCCATCCCATTATGGGTGGTACCATCTCTGAGCTGGTGGTTGTGGATTCTATAAGAAAACAGGCTGAGCAAGACATGATGAACAAGCCAACAGGCAGCACTCCTCCATGACCTCTGCATCAACCCTTGTCTCCAGGTTTTTGCTCTATTTGAGTTTCTGCTCTGATTTCCTGTCATGATAGATGATGTGGAAACAGAGGTAAAATAAACCTTTTCCTCTGTTAGTTGCTTTTGGTTATGTTGTTTTATTACAACAATAGAAACCCTAACTAAGAAAATCTCAGTTGCTATGATAAAATATCAACTTAGGGGAAGAAAGGCTCTATTTAACTTACAGTTCTCAGATCTAGTTCACTGAGAGGATATTTATATAAAAACTTAATTCATAGTCAAGATCATGAAGAAATAAATGCATAGATGATGGATGCTTACATCCAGTTTTTTCTTGTTCTATGTAGTTCAAGACCCATCCCTTGCTCAGGGAAATTGCTATCCAGGATGAAATAGTTCCTTAATATGTCATTAAAAACAGGAACTACAGAGGTAAGCATCACCAACAGAATACAAGAGATGGAGGCAAGAATCTCAGCTGTAGAAGGCACAATGGAAGAAATCAATGCATCCGTCAAAGAAATTGTTAATCCAAAAAATTTCTGACACAAAACATGCAAGAAATCAAGGACACCATGAAAAAGAAGAGACCTAATAGGAATAGAAATAATAGGAATAGGAAATTTCTGGCTTCAGGGATCAGAAAATATTTTCAACAAAACTGTAGAACAAAATTTCCCCAATCTTAAGAGATGCCTATAAGCATAGACAAGGCCTACAAAATAGCAAATAGACTAGATCAGAAAAGAAAATCCTCTTGCTACATAATAATCAAAACACTAAATGTACAGAATGAAGAAAAACTATTAAAAGCTGCAAAGGAGAAAGGCCAAGTAACATATAATGGCAAACCTATCAGAATCACACCTAACTTCCAGGAGAGACCATAAAAGCCAGAGGGGTCTAGGCAGACATCTTGAAAATCCTAAGAGACCACAGATGCCAGTCCAGACTACTATATCCAGATAAACTTTCAATCACCATAGATGGAGAACTAAGAAAACACCCACACAAACAAGGAAACTGAACAACTCTCTACTCAAAATCAACTAGGTCAGGGAAGAAATAAAGAAATTAAAGACTTCCTAGAATTCAGTGAAAATGAAGGCACAACATACCCAAATTATGAGACACACTGAAAGCAGTGCTAAGAGGAAAGTTCATAGCACTAAGTGCCTTCATAAAGAAATTGGAGACATCTCATACAAGTAATGTAATGGCACACCTGAAAGCCCTAGGAAAAAAAGAAGCAGACACACCCAAGAGGGGTAGTCAGCTGGAAATAATTAAACTCAGGGCTCAAATCAATAAATTAGAAACAAAGAGAACAATTCAAAAAATCACAAAAACCAGGAGCTGGTTGTTTGAGAAAATCAACAAGATAGACAAACCCTTAGCCTAACTAAAAGGCAAAGAGATATTATCCAAATCAACAAAATCAGAATAGAAAGGGAAGACATAATGACAGACACTGAGGAAATCCAAACAATCATTAGGTCCTACTTCAAAAGCCTATATGCCACATAATGTGAAAAATCTAAATGAAATGGAAAATTTTCTTGATAGATTTCAATTACCAAAGTTGAATCAAGATCAGGTAAAATTTAAATAGTCCTATATCCCTTAAAGAAATGAAACACACATCAAAAGTCTCCCATCCAAAAAGAAAACAGAGCTAGACGGTTTCAGTGCTGAATTCTACTGGACTTTCAAAGAAGAGTGAATACCAATACTCTTCCATACCAATACCAATACCAAAATAGAAACA